AAACTGGTGGTACAGGGTGGGGGCGGGCGGTTCTATTCAGCCTGAAGACATATTTGGTCTGGGACTCCATAGTGTATTTTAAAAAATTAGTTGTTAACATTAAAAATCAAAACACCAAAATCCAAGTATCCAGCTCCTCTTGAAAAACACGAAGACTGGGGCACCTGGGTGAGCTCAGTCAGTGAAGCATCCGATCCTTGGTTTCAGCTCAGGTCGTGATCTCTGGGTCATGAGATCCAGCCCTGCTGAGGGCTCCATGCTCAGCGGGGAGTCTGCTTGTTCTTGTCCCTCTCCCTCAGCACCTCCTCCCCTCCCATCGCTGCTCGCACACTCTCCTGCCCTCTAAACTATATAAATAAAATCTTAAAAAAAAAAAAAAAAGAGGGGTGCCTGGGTGGCTCAGTTGTTAAGCGTCTGCCTTCGGCTCAGGTCATGATCCCAGGGTCCTGGGACCGAGCCCCGCATCGGGCTCCCTGCTCGGCGGGAAGCCTGCTTCTCCCTCTCCCACTCCCCCTGCTTGTGTTCCCTCTCTCGCTGTCTCTCTCTCTGTCAAATAAATAAAATCTTTAAAAAAAAAAAATATGAAGACCTGAGCCCTGCCGCCCACTCTCCCCAAAGCAATCATGCCACATCTGGAGTGGACAGAAGCCAGGAGCCAAAGATGGGAGCCATGGTCTCTCTAGAGAATCTTACTCAGCATTCTCGGCTCCTTTGGGCTAAGGTCCTGGCCCCTGCGAGCGTCTGCCTTTATGACGCCTGATATAAGATCATTTCTTCACTTGACAGTGAGGAAACAGGCTGAAAACAGAATTGCTGGAAGTCACACAGTTCACTATGGCACCAGGGTGAGCAGGACAGGAGTCCTGGGCCTCAGCAAGCGTCCTGTCCACCATAACGCTCAAAAGTCAATGCCATGATATCCTGCCCAGTCCAGGAAGGACTTGGGCGCAGCAGAGCAGGAGGCGACCAGCATGAGAGATGGGCCACAGAGGCGGGACTTCTGGGTGTAGGCTTTGCAGAGGAAGACTCGGGTGGCAGCACTTGGGAGATTCCCACCTTCCCTTTCAAAGTCCAGACACCTTGGCAGACAGTTCCTGACTTCAGCTGCCGAATCTCTCACTGGTCTGTCTACCCGTCACCCTGCTGCTTCTGACCCCTGCATCGGGCCCTCCGTGCCTCTTGCCTGGATTAACACAACAGTCTCCTCACTTATCCCCCTTGCTCTGGCCCTGCTGATTCTGATCCTTCGCAAAGCCACTAGAATGATCTTCCTGAAATGAACATCTAATCTGCCCATTCTCCCAGGGATCTTCCACTGCTCTCCTCCCTCATGGAGCCCACGCTCCTCAGCATGTTTTATAAGAAGTCCTGCGGGACCCACCCCAGCTTACATTTCTGGCCACATCGTCTCTTGTTGCTCTCCCCGTCAAGGCCCTGGCCACCTTGTACCTCTGGAACGGACGGCTCCTTCTGCCTGGAACATCGCCACCTCTACTGGCGGACTCCAACTCAGCCTCCATTTGGATCTATCTTCTTCAGGACGTCCCTTCCTCCCATTCCCCAGACTAGGTGAATCCCACTGGGAGGGGACACCCCCATCACAGAACCTAAAGAATCTGCATCTTTAATTAACTGTCATTCCTGCTGGTCTGTAAGCGCTGGGATTCACAGGTCCTATGTCTGGTTCACAGATATGGCAGCACATAGTAGGTACCTTATAAAAGTTTACCCACTAAATGAATGAAAAGACGAATGAATACTAAGGATGGAGCAGAAAAATGAAGAAAGTCACAATGTCCGGTCATTCTAGACAGGCAAGCCATGGCTTTTCCGGTCTCAGTTTCCACATGTGTACTTTACAAAAAGACTGGACAATACACCTCAACACCTCAAGACCAAATAATCCCACTAAAAAATAGGCAAAAGACATGAACAGATATTTCTCCAAAGATGACATTCAGATGGCCACAGACACACGAAAAGAGGCTCATCATCACTCATTCATCAACAGGGAACTGCAAATCAAAGCCACAATGAGATATCACCACGCACCTGTCAGAATGGCTAAAATCAACAACACAAGAAACAACAGGTGTTGGCGAGGATGCTGAGAAAGGGGAACCCTTGTGCACCGTTAGGTGGGAATGCAAACCGGTGCAGCCACTCTGGAAGACAGTGTGGAGGTTCCTCAGAAAGTTAAAAATAGAGCTACCCTACAATCCAGCAATCGCACCACTGGGTATTTACCCCCAAAATACAAAAATACTAATTCAAGGGGATACATGCATCCCAATGTTTGGAGCAGCATTATTTACAATAGCCAAGTTATGGAAGCAGCCCAAGTGTCCATCGAAAGATCAACGGATAAAGAAGTTGTGGTACATATATACAATGGAATATTACTCAGCCACAAAAAGAATGAAATCTGGCCATTTGCAATGACATGGATGGAGCTAGAGAGTATCATGCTAAGAGCAGTCATTTAGTCAGTGAAAGACAAATACTGTATGATTTCACTCATATATGGAATTTAAGAAACCAAACAAATGAGCAAAGTTAAAAATAAACAGAGAGATATATCAAGAAACAGACTTTGAACTATAGAGAACAGACTGCTGGTTACCAGAGGGAAGGAGGTGGGTGGGGGGAATGGATGGATGAAACAGGTGACAGGGATTAAGGAGTGCACCTGTGGTGATGAGCGCCAGGTGATGTGTGGAAAAGTTGAGTCAGTATATCGAACCTGAACTAATGTTACACTGTATGTTAACTATACGGGAATTACAATGAAAACCTTAATTAAAAAAAGAAGACTGGACAAGACCATTTCTTCTCACTCAGGGTAGGGTCTCTGGACTTCTATAGGGCCTATGAAGACAGCAGCAACATTTTAGGAGCAATGTGCAGTATTTCAAACCCCCCGAGGGGAACCATGCGCCTTCCCATAACAAGGGGCCAAAGGCCAGCCAAGCCTCGGGCGACTCCGCGTTAAGAACGTGTTAATTAGTAGGCAATGCTGGTTAGCTCCTACTGAGTAAGGTCAAGATGCTATTGGAGATGCTATGAGAGGTGACCGCCATGGGAGATTAATAGCATTTTTGATCAATACAACATAGGAACAGAACACAGAAACAATCTGTTACTGTGTGATGTTTTTTTTTTTTTTAAACATGAGGCCCATGAGATAAAACAATAAAAGAGTTTGGAGGTGGGGAGCAGACTACAGATTCTTAGGAGAGGGCCAGCTCACCTCCAACTCCTTGGAATGAAGGCCCCTCAGGTGCTCCTGCAGAAGAGCCCCTTAGCGGGGAGGATGGGGCCGCAGTCTAATCCTCAAGCCTCTCTTTTCTTGGTGGAGGGCGGCCCCCACCATCTGTTCCTTTGGGAAGCCCTCGCCCCCATCCCCGCCCCCAGACTCCCAGAGCTTGTGATGCTGCAGGCTGTGGGGGCTTCTGAATCTCCCGGAATCAGGCGCTGAAAGCGCGGTCTGGCCACACGGGGGCGCCCTCAGCCCACACATGGGGATTCCAAGGCCCAGCCGGAGCAGGACAGATCCGTGCCGGGAGCCCTGTGCCGGCATCCGAAGCTGGGGCAGCACAGTCCCTGCTCTTTGGGAAGACACCTCCCATCCTCCGTGGCTGGGGGTCATGCCGCCCCAGCACCGCGGCCAGAGAGAGGCAGGAAAGGGCTCCTCCTGCTCACAGGGGAGGGACTGAAGTTAGGAAATCCTACAGAGACAAAGACGGAGACAGATACAGAGAGAGGGAGCGAAGGGCAAGAGAGCAGGAGAGAAAGAACCCTACTCTGTTCCCGCCCTGCCTGGGGACAGTCAGTAACCCCAGAGGAGCCAGTATGCAGCTGGGCGCCTGCCCACCTGGAGTCTGACAGACGCTGGCTCCAATCTTGGAGCAAAGCCGCATGGACGGGAGCAGGGGACTCTGCTTCCCCGAGTCTCCCTGTTGCCCACAGTAAAAGGGGGGAACCCTGCCGGCCTTTCGGGCTTGATGTGTGGATCCAGCAGGATAATTAGTAAGTGCAAACCATCGCTCCCGGGACCTGGACCCAGGCCCGCATCGCCCAGCAGCAGAGGGAATTCGTGCCGACAAAAGCCAGAAATAAAGGATTAAAAAAAAAAAAAAAAAAAGGCTTGGCCAGTTACATCTCGATTTACACCTTGTGACTTTAGTTTAGCCGCACGGGGACTGTCGGGCTGTAGGAATTCAGCAGTCCCTTTCCGTTCAGATTGGTTGTCATTCCATAACAAATGCCGCTCCCCACACAGCTCTCCAGCCTTCCATGAGCTGAGGGCCTCCTCCAGCCGCCGGACGGCCGCCCTGCCACGTGGGCAGAGCTGGGACGGGTCACAGAGGCAGCTGAGACGGCGACGCAGCCCACGGCTCTGCAGTCGGACTGGCTGGCCCCGGCCTCCACGTGGGTCGGTGTGGAGCTGTGGCCTCGCAGCTCCACATCCCAGCCCCACGCACTCCCGTCCGGGAAATGAAGATAACTATGGTGGCCGGCCCAGGGACCGCGGCGGGTGGGAACAAACTCCTACTCGTCAGGCACTCAGAACAGTGCTAGCCTTCACCATCACTTTGCTTTGTTTTACAGAATAGGAAGTGATCTTTCTAGAACGGTTAGATGAAGGTCATCTGATCCCAAACTGGAAGAGGGAGGACATGTATCCCTAGCAGCTAGAGAGAGAGCGCGTTAGACCGGGAGCCAAAGAGACGTGTCTGAGACCACGTGCCACTTTGAACATTTCGGTATGCAAAGTGGGGTTCCGGCCTGTTCGTCAGGAAAGCGAGGACATTGGATTGCCTAAATGGCCCTGCCAAACCCGGTGGGCAGTGCTCTATCTCTGGATGGACGCGGGCAGGTGCAGTCCCCTTTTGGGTCCCAGCTGCCCCATCTTTAAGAGGGAAGACCTGGACGGGAGGATGCCCCCAGGGAGTGTTCTAGTCCCGGTGCCGCCCGAGCCGGTGTCCCCCGGGCCTCACCTGAGGTACTCATAGAGCCCATACATGGGCAGGAAGTCGATGTCGGACAGGAACATGTAGGGCGTGCCCACGTGCTTCATGGCCACGTTGCGTAGCAGGTTCACAGGGTAGAACTGGCCCTCCTTGTACACGATGTGGTAGGCCACGTTGTGGCGGCTCATGAGCACCTCCGAGCCCTGCGCATAGCGGAGGAACTGCTGGGCTTCGGCGTCCGACAGGTAGAGGGCCAGGCTGATGGGTCCCTCCCAGTGCTTGCAGATGGCCTCGAGCATCTGGAGCCTGGAGGAGACAGGAAAGCTGAGCCCGCCGTGGGGACCTGGGCCACGCGCCACGCGCCACGCGGCCAGCCTCCTGGGGCCGGACACCACCTCCACAGACACCTGGTCAGCCCGCTCCAAATCCAAGTCCCTGCTCTAAACTTCATCACTGTGTGATGGGGGCCAACCCCCAAAGTTCAGTTCCTTTCATCTCTGAAATCGGCATAAACACACTTACCTGGCTGTTTCTTGTCTTTATCTGCTTCCAGATGAAGGTGGGATACCGACAGAGTCGCATCCCACTGTAAGCGTTCTCTTCCCAGACTCCTTTTTTCACCGCGGGGGGGGGGATGGGGGGGCAGGACGATTACATTAACTGATGTAAGGGTCCCCTTCCAGCTCACAATACCTATGCCTCTCCTCTCTCAGCAAAGATGTCTCGCAGCTGCCCTGCTCTGCTAAAGCAGGGACCAGCATAGAAGATTTAGCCAAACCGAGGCCCTAAGTTACAAGGAGCATTAAAACATGAGTGATGACAACTATGATCACCAACTCATTAACTATGCACCAGACACTTTCCAGAACTCCCCCAACAACCCTGTGCACGGTTGTAATTTCCCCCATTTCCCTGATGAAGAAACTGGGGATCCAGATATCCGGTCAGCTTGGATCCTTGGACTTGGGACCAGACCTGTCCAGACGGGTACCGAACAGGGCCTTGGCGACAGTGAGAACAAACACACGCTGGGCGTTCGGCAAAGGAACCGAAGAACACACGAACGCTAGGGACAAAAGTGTGCCTGGCATGATGCTGTCTTCATTTGTCAGAGCCCTTACTGCCCCAGGGTCCCGGGCAATTTTGCGAGGCTTCAGGAAAGGCACCGTGCCAAGGATTATGGGGCAGGGGGAGCGGGCGTGGGGGGCGGGCGGAGAAGAAAGCCCAGAGAAAAAACCAAAAGGTGCTTCTCCAATGGAGAGAATTCTACAAAAATGTTTGAAGAGAAATCTATGAAGATTTTTTTTTTCTTCCAAAGGCATTAGAAGTGCCTGGCAGATCGGATCTATGGTTAAGAAACTGCAAAAGCCTATTTCAATTTCTTCCCTGCCCAGCAAGAGGTACATAATCAGCGGTCTCCTGGTAGGAATGCCAACTTTATTCGGACAATTACCAGGAAAGAGATTCCATGCATTTCCCTGCTTCTAAACAAAAGAAAATGGGCACACCTATCTTATGTCAATGGCTTTCTCGATGGACTTTCAGAGTTTCCTCTCTGTAATTCTGTGAATTGCTATCGCCAGGAGTTGCTTCCTCTTTCATGACGGAGGATTAAGATATTCATCAGGGTAAAATGCCCTCCATTTCTCATACTTTATAACACTTACTAATCAAATTGCCCGGAGCCAGTTTTCTAAGAGGCTCTGCCTTCTCCACAATGCCGACTTGCCCTGGGATCTGCGTTCGGCTTCTGCCGCAGGCCCGGGTCTCTGCTGGGCTCCGAGAACCTGGGGTTTTGAGTGATCCCACCCACACCTCACTTTCACTGTCCTTGAAATGGAGGGAACTGTGCATTCGGAAGGGACAGCTGTTCGTACAAATCCTTTGAGATGTGGGGAGTGAAGGGCAAAGAATGCTTTCTAACATGTGGATGTAAGAGCGCCCGTGTGGGAGGCATGCGTGTCTGGCGGGAAGAGAGGCCAGCTCCCATGGTGGAGCCCCCCCCCCCCCTCCACCGCCTGGGATTTTGACTGTGTCTGAGTTTTCTGAGCGGGGAGCAAGAAAGAGAAGCAAGGGAAGCTGGCTCTTCTTCCAAGCTCTGCCAAGGGTTTAGCGTGAGAACAGGGACACAAGATCCTCAAGGTTCTCAGGTGCTGCTGACATGGCAAACATCACATCCGCGTGGGCTTTACCGGAAATGGTGCCAGATGTTCTGTGGAACCTCCTCGAAGGAAGAGTCAAGATGACCCAGCCACTCCTGCCCGTCTGCCACCAGCCCTCAGCTTTGCGACCTCTCTTCCCTCAAAACCAAGCTTCCTGCCGGGACCTGAACAACAGCGACAGACTGAGGTTTATCATAATGACGACAACATATAAAGTATGATGGCGATAGAATAAATCTCTACCGTTTCTCTGCTGCTTGGAGTGGGCCGGCTGCATTTCCACGGTTACTGCTTTCAACATTCACACTGACTCTATAAAGTTGAGATTCTCATCACTGTTACAGGTAAAGAAGCTCGAGGTGGTGAAGTGACTTCTTTCGGGTCACTTAGCGACACAGCGGGGGAGCTGGATTGACACCCAGGTCTGTCCGACCCCAGTGCCCAGAACCCAGACTGGTGTTCCGTATTGACTGTGGGGCAGGCTGGGATAAATGTCCCCAAGGATTTTCTCTCCGCTGCCCGCTTCCCCAGACACAAATGTGTTCTTCCCTTGGGGTCAGCTCCTGTGCTTTCCTTCCTCCTCCTCCTCAGTCTCTCTGGGGGTCTTCCCCAAAGACCTGCCGTTCTCTTGACCCTTCTCCTGGCTGTGTGTCCCCACACCTGCACCCTAAAGTTGTCCTGTGCGGCTCGTGTCCACACGGAGTTCTGTGCCAAGTCGGTCTTTGGTCTCTTACACTGGACGATAAAGTACGTAACACAGCAAGGACCGGGGACAACGGAGAGTGTTTCAAGAGACAAAGATTAATTCCCAAACAACAGAATTTTCCGTTTGGAAAGAACTGTAGAGGTTTTCTTGGTCTGATTATGCCATCTTGATGATGAAAAAGCTCAGCCTCGGAGGGGAGCATGGCTTGCTGAAGAGCACGGGGTGAGTGAGTGGAGGAGATAGTGAGCACTGGGACCCACGGTCCCAACTCTGGGTCCCATGCTCTTCTCCAAGTCCCCAGAGGGCCCACCATCACTTCATGCTGCCAAGAGGAGGGCAAAGGCTCAAGAAAGGCCAAAGAGATGTCGGGAGGGTCTAGCTGGAAGCCAGGGCTACCCCTGGGAGTCCTGCTGAGACAGGAAGCCTCCTGCGCTCTGTCTAGGGACAGGGGGGCAGGCAGGGAGGCAGCCAAGTCAGAAACCTACAAGACTGGGTTGGAAGGAATTCTAGAAGGCCAGTTGGCCACTGGAATGGGGAGCTCCCTCCCCACAAGGCAGCTGATGAGAGCAAGGCGGGTTGTGTGGGATGGAGGTGCAAGAGTGGGCTCTCGGGTCAGCCAGAACTGGGTTTGAACTCTGAGCTGTGTCAGCATCCCTGAGCAAGAGATGACAGTTCTTTTGACTGAGATCAAGTGAAGAGATGACAGTTCTTTGGGCTTCCATTTCCACATGTGCATAGCACGGACAGTAATACCTCCGTAGATCACAAAATGGCTACAAATCATTCCTCTCAATCTGCAGCCTCTGCGGATACTCCCCACACTGATTCTGGGATGGCCTTGTGACTTGCTCACACGGGACACTAGCAGAGGTGTTAAACGGTGCTCCTGTGGTGGGGTTTGCCCCTACGGACAAGCCTGCTTACTATGCTTCTGTGAAGTGTCCAGCACAAAGCGAGATATGCAGCAGGTACTCAATATATGGCAGCTGTAATTTCTTCCATAGGTTCTATTTCTGCTTTTCAAACATGCACCCACCCATTAGATACTTATTATGTAACTACAACGTGCAGGTGTACGTGCCAGGCCCTGGGACAAACGAGAAAGACAAGGTTCCTGAACTTCCGGAGCTTCTTTCTGGTGGAGGGAGAAGACACAGAACCAACCAAGATAGATCCCGAGGGGGCGAGGGCTAACACAGAACAGGGAACAGGATGGGGGAACCCTGAGGACTGGCCAGGGAAGGCCTGCCGGGGATGTGAATTTGAGACTTGGATGAGGAGAAGGACTCAGCCCTGAGGAAGTCTGGGCAAGAAGCTTTCCAAGGAGAGGGAGCAGCTCTTGGCGTAACTGAGGGTAGCATGTTCAAGCAAGAAGAGAGGGAAGATGGGAGAGTGAAGGGCAGGAGGACAGAAGATGCTGGGGAGCCGGCAGGTGACGTGGGGCCAGGAAGGCCACATGGGCAACTGTAGTACTATCCTAAACGCAACGAGAAATCATCGGAGAGTTTTAAAGATGTTGACCTGATACGCAGACGGTCCCCAGCTTATGATGGGTTGACTTAACAATTTTTCAACTTTACGATGGCATGAAAGTGATATGCATTCAGTAGAGACCGTGCTTCGTGCTTTGAATTTACATTTTGTCCCCAGGCCACATCAATATGCAGTAGGGATGCCCTCGTGATGCTGGGCAGCCGTCGCCACGGCTTCCGGTTTATCCCCGGGATCACAGGGTCAACAACTGATACACCGACAATCATTCTGCACCCAGACAAGCCACTCTGTTTCTCACTTTCCATATAGTATTCCATAAATTGCATGAGATAGTCAACACTTTATTATAAAATAGGCTTTGTGTTAAGATGATTTTGCCCAGCTGTAGGGCAATGTAAGTGTTCTGAGCATGTTTCAGGTTGGCGAGGCTAAGCCAGGACGCTTGGTAGGGTAGGTGTATTAAATGTATTTCCGACTTAGGGTATTTTCAGCTGATGATGGGTTTATTGGGCTATAACCCCATCCACCGTAAGTCAAGGAGGATCTGTCTATTTTTAGAAGATCACTCTGGCTGTTACATGGACAAGGGAGTTCCCTTTCACTTTCTAGAGCAGTGCTTTTCAAACTGAAGCATGCTCAAGATCACTACAGCACTGATTCCTGGGCCCCCACTCCAGAGGGGCCCGTCGGCTAGGTCTGGGTGGGACCAAGATTTTGCATTTCCAATGAGCTCCCTGGTGATCTAAAGCGTGGGCCCCTTCACCTTAGCTAACGTTCTCTTTCCTCCACTCACAGAAAACAGAGAGGACCCATTTGCCACGTGATCCCCTGCAGCTGCACTCAGTACTTCGATAACTTTGTCAAAGGAACACAGAAGAGCAAGCGTCTCCTGGCCAGGTGGCCAAGATGCTGTGACCCGGAGCCCTCCTGGTCAGCCCCCTCTGTCCCGAGACCGTTCTCACCTGCTGCTGGGATGGGAGGGTGGTCTGCCACGTGCTGGGAGAGGAGCCGGCTCCACGGCTGTAGCAGGCAATGTTCATTCTTTCTGAACAGAATTCTAGAGGGACCTGGGCACAGGAGCCCGCACACCAGCTCCCCTAATTCACTGTGGCATTCACGTAGGGCCTGCTCCTGACTCAAAGGTTTACAAACACACCCGAAATGTTTCTTCAATTAAAAATCAATCCAACAGGCACCAGTCGGCCTGCTGCATCATAATTGGATGTGCAGGATGGAGCAGAAGGAGGAATTCTTACCATCTCCATCAGCCTGTGGTACTGCTCTATGATTTTTTATTATGTCCCGCTAAGCCGCTCTCGTTAGGGTGTGGAAGTCCTCGGGCTCTCTGGGGTATTGTCAGGATGGCAATACTTGTCACAACGTGTTAGGGGCGAATCGTGCGCCTGCCATGCCGAGGGATGTGTGCACTTTGAAGGGAAGGGCTCTGCGGTTAGCGTCTGAGGCAGACGTGAGAGGGGCCGGGGTTTTCTTTTAAGCGGGCTGGGAGGGAAGGTTCTGCCGGGGGTACTGTAGCCCCGGCCGGCCGGGAGTCTGCCTCCAGCCGGCACTAGAAGGGAGGGGCTCTGTTTTGCCTGTATCCTTTTATTGATGGCAACTGTCTACAGAGGGATGGATTTGGGGTGTTAATAATTGAAAAACCTTTCTTTTAATTGTCTGTGCATTCTGGATTGCGAATTCCATAGCTAGCACAGAGGTTAAAAAAAAAAACAAAAAAACTATAAAGGGAAGGGAATCTAATATTTGCTGTAGACCTACTACTCACTGGGCACTTTAGAGCCTCTTATTTTATAAAGCCCAGACACCGATCTGTGACCTTGACGGTATCATTGCCACTTCACAGATAAGTCGGATGATGCTCAAAAAGCCTGGGTAACTTGCCCAAATTCACATAGCTAGTAAGTGGTGCAGCTGGACTTTGAACGCAGATATTTCTCTTTTTGTTTTCCTGCATCACTTTACCTCTCCTAAATACCGACCATATGCAGATGCTGTGGTCAGGGTTTTCAGATCTGTAAATATTCACTGAATGCAAATATATGCCAAGGGCTTTCGAACACAATCTCTCCTTTAATCCCAATCAGGACCCTAGGAGGCAAATATGTCTTAACTCTCTTTATAGAAGGAGAAAGATAACCAAAGGTGTTGGTGCCCTGCCCAAGATCACCATCGGAGGAGTAAAGGAGCCCGTGGAATTTGAACCCAGAGCTCTTTGTCTGTGAGTCTAGTGGCCTTTTGTGCAGTAGCACAAATAGGAAGACTTTGGTCAATGGTGCGATCAAATGATAGGGAGTCTCTGACTGTATGTTGGGGCTAAGTCCTGGCTATGCATGATCTCACCTGGTCATGACAACAACCTTGGCAGGGGTGGGAGGGGGTTACTGTCATTGCCATTCCCGGGTTACAGATGAGGAAACGAAGGCTGGGAGAGCTGGTTTGTCCAAGGGTCAAAGCCAAGAAGTGGCAGAGCCACTAAGACCGCCTAGTGCCTGACTCCAGGGACCAAATTATTCAAGGTCAGGCCACTTGATTCTGATTAGAAAGCATGTCGGATTTGTCTCTTTCATTTTTTCCTGAGTTTGGAGGTACCCATTGGCTACTAATCTTGATTCAGCATATTTTGTTGATAAATGGAACATATGAACAGGAGGCGTGAATGGGACCAAGGAAAACCAGGGATGCTCTACGAGGTGAGAACCTGGAATTATCTGGAACTCACTCACCTGGGCAGATTCAGTCTCTGAGCTTCAGGTAACCCTCCTGAGGGGCCTGAAGGGCATTTGTGTTGCCTGAAGAACAGAAGACTAATCTCAGCAATCATTCAGCACGAATCTCAAGGATTGGATTTTATTTTCATTTGAAATGGCAGAGAGGATAAGAGAAGACACATGGGAAGAGAGGTCTGTTAACGGCCCCGTCACTCGCTCAAGTGCTGCTTGGTGGCAGAGTGTGCGCACCCAAACTGAAGGCTGGGTGAGAAGCCAAAGGGACACAGAAGTGTAGGCGTAAGCCTGGGGCTCTCGTCTAGCTCAGTCCCTTAGGGAGCCTCACTGATGGGTTTGAGCCGGCGGGAGGCCACCTGTCCTGGTTTCCCCCGTGCCCTCTGTAAACCCATCTGCTCCCCTCTTTCTCACCCACGCCTTAAGCTCTAACCACACCAGAGCCTGTGTGTTCCCAGTGGGCCTGGGGGCCTCTTTGTTCCCTGAATATGCTGCACGCTCCACCTTCTCTCCCTGTGTGCTTTCTACCGGCTGTCTACTCGGGCCCCCAACTCAAGGCAGGCAACACCTCCCCGTGGACCCATTCCCTGTCTCTTCCTTTCTCCACAGCCCAGACAGGCTGGGGGATCCTCACATAGAATCTCTCTAGAGTAAGAACCTGTTACCCGTCTGGGGCAGGCTGAATTCTAAGCTGGCCCCCACAAATCCTGCCTCGTGGCATACACACTTGTACAACCCCCACCCTTGAATGTGAGCCGAACCCAGTAATGGGATGGAATGCCACTCCTGTGGGTTACGTGATGGAACAGCCTGCAGAGAGTCTCCTGCTGGCTTTGAAGAAGTAAGCTGCCGTGCTGTCAGAGGGCCACATGGCTAAGACCTAAGGGTGGCCTCCTGTTGCTCAGAAGGACCCCAGCCAATGGCCAGCGAGGAAATGGGGACCTCAGTCCTAGAACTAAATTCTGCCAAAAGCTGAATGAGCTTAGCGGTGGACCCTGACTCCCATGAGATCACAGCCCCAGCCAACACCTTGATGGTAGTCCTGGGAACTGAGCAGGGGACCCTGCTAGCACCCATCCAGGCTCCAGAACCCCCAAACTGCAAGATACTAAATGTTATTTAAGCTGCTAAATCTGTGGCAATTTGTTCTACGACAGTAGATAACTAATACACTGAGTCATGAAGATGCTATCTACTCCTTGAAAGCAAAAATAGGGTCTTCTTATAAATATCCCCAGCTTCACAAGAGCCTGGCACACCACAGTAACAGATGCTTACACGATATTTGCTGAGTGGTCACGTGAATGTTGGAGATTCGGAACCTGAGGCCACAAGAAGGGAAAGACTTTGCTTGAGGTCACATAGCAGGTCAGGATGAAACTGGTACGAGCAGCTCTGTGCTTTCCCCCTTTGTCCCCGCTCATCTTTACCTGCTACCTGTTATGTTCAGCAAGTTCTGCGTTTCTGCACAGAGGTCCCGAGGCCTATGAACCTCCAGGAAAACCCCAGCCAATGGAACCACTGAATTTCACCAGTGAGCTTCCGCCAATGCAGTGGGACTCTCAAAGTGAGGGATCTGCTTCCATCAGCTACGCTCTACATAACTCCTTCCCGGATGTCTCTGGATGTGAGGTTCTACTCACTCCTCCCAACTCCCAGACCACTTTCTGCATGTGAACCTTTTTGTGTCCCAGCGCTTGCTCCTTCACTGGTTTGCCCACGCTTTTTCACTCCCCACTAATAACGAGTGGTATTTATTGAACACTTAACAAGTGTGCCAGCTACCGCTCTCGGCACACAACAGGCGTGAACTCATTTAATCCTGCAAACAGTCCCGTGGAGTTGCGGCCATAGACTGGACGGGCATCTCCAAGGTGACTGAAAGACAGAATGAGCCACTCAGATTGCCCAACTGTGGGAGCTGAGGGGGAATGGAAGGAAGGAAACGGGGGGTAGGGAGCCAGTGTGGGCCATGTGTAAACTAAAGAGAAAGCTGGTGGGCCGAGGTGGGAGGGAGACACACAGGACACCCAGTACGGAAAAGTACAGCCTTGAGGGGGTGACCTCGGGGTTTTGAATGCACACACCCCTGGCAACAAGAGAGATGCTTTCAAAAACATAAATTGGATCATATAACTTTGTGTAAATGTCTTCAATAACTTCTCACCACACTGAGAATAAAATCCAAAATGTTTTGGTGAGTTTCTAATGTTCTATAATCTTAATCTCACACCATGTCCCTGCTATGCCTCAGCCACTGCTCTTCTACCACGTTTTTGAATGTCTGAGCCCCCTCCCACCACAGGGCCTTTACGCTTGCTATTTTACCCACCTGGAAAAATTTTTTTTTTTTTCTCAGTAGCTCACACTCCTGACTCCTTTTCTCCTCCTTTAGGTCTCTGCAGAAATGTCCCCTCCTTAGATTTCCCCTGACCACATCACCCAAGGAAGGTCCCTCTCTTGACATTGTTATTATCAGTCTCAGTTCCTTCCAAAGAACTTACCACAATTATAATAATTTTACTCAACTATTTATTTTCTGTTCATACCACTGTACTTATGTTCTTAACCCTGGCTGCACACCACAAGCGTAAAACAAGGCAAGGTCTTCACCACACAAATATTCTTACTTAACTGGTCTGCAATGGAGCTCGAAGGTGCATTTGTTTTAAGAGCTCCCCTGGTGATTCAGTTTGGCCCCAGCCAAGGTTGACAATCAGTGCGCTAGAGTGTCAGCCACATAAGGGCGGGGATCACATCAGTACTTCCAGATAAAGGCTTGGTAGATGTTTGTTGCATCAATACACTAAGGAAAAGAAACAGCAATTGCTTTCCAGCAGTGATAGTGGTTCCAGAATATGTGTTTCCCTATAATACACCCCTTTTCCTTAAGGTAGTTTAAGTAGAGCTCTACTCTTTAGAATCAATTCTTCTATTCTCAAAACCACCACCCTCACCGGAAGACAAGAGCCCTTGGTTTTCAGTGCTGGAGAGGAGCACGACCCAAGCCTAAGTCTGTCAGACCATCTCTCCCTTCTCCCTTTGACTGGGTGTAGAGCAGCAGGGTGGGGCTGTGGGGAGGTCAGGGCCCATCTGCCTACCTGTCCATAGAGAGCTGAGCGACCAGGGTGACATCCGTGTTGTCCGAAGCGGGCTCATACTCATAGTGCAAGAAGTACAGGTGGGTTCGGTGGACAGTGAACCGCTCTCGCCGGAACTCATAACACAGGTCATCCTCATCGAGCTCAGAGAGCTGCTTCTGGAGCTGAAATGTAGGAGAAGAGGGTATGGGACCAAGAAGGGAAGCCCCAACGAGCCAGGAGCCTGCCCTTGCCTGAGTCGGTTACTCACTGGATGTTGGTGATGGGTCAAACATGGGAGGGCAGGATCACTGGCTTTAGTTTCCTCTGCAATTTAATTTTAAAAAGGCAATGATGAAGGGCAGTTGTCCTCGCCATCTGAGAAACAAGCCCCCTCTGAGCTGAGAATGATGGTGGTCACCACTGACAAATATAAAAGCAACCACAAACTCCTTAAAAACAAACAAAAAATGCTTTGGTAGGTGACCTAGTACAACAATTCCAAATAACAGGGAAGAAAATACCAAAATCCAAATGGAGCAGTGCCTTTGCATGAGCTTCTCTCCTGCCTAGAGCTGCAGACTTTAATCTTTGTAGCAGGTATTGAAGAAAAAGACTAAACCACCCATAAACAAAATTTAAAAATCTGTTCCTTTCATTTCATCCAAGGCTTGGCATCCACTCTTCTTTCTTGTTTCTAACTCTTGGGAAGTCCTGCTCCCTTAATCTGCCTGTAGAAGTTCTTCACATAGCTCTACTTGCCTTCCTACCCCAACCAGTGCAAGAGCTGGTTGACCTGCCAACAGGGAACCAAGGACTTAGCATCTGGCATGGGCAGATGCAGATGCACAACATCCGGATCTGAGGATGTGCAGCTGCCCAATCCACAACCATGTCATGCCAACCCCATCATATCCCTCCCAGGCAGGGGTGACTGGGCCTGCTTCACAGATGAAGATTTGCAAAGAAGAAGTAGAAGAACTTCAATAGGGCTAGAAGTCAGATCACTGAAGGTGTGTGGGCAGAGTGGATAGACTGGATAGAAGCAAGAGAGAACTTTTTGGGGGGATGGAAATGTTCTATGTCATGGTTACAGTGATGGTTACAAGTGTGTATACATTTGTGGGAAGTCAACAAACTACACACTTAGAATGGGTGGATTTATTACATGCAACCTATTATTTCAACTGAATTTGCCAAAGGTCATATGGCCGATTCTAATATTTTTTTCTGTGATATCAGCCTAGTCCATTACACGATGGCACATAGTTGAATGTAGATTATAGTTTACATGGCTAGAGCTACTAACCTAGCTGAATGTAACAGAGCAGTTTTCCAAGAAGAAGGTGTACATATATTTTAAATCTCCAAGCCAAGAGTGTAGTAAACAAGAATTATATTAACTCACTTCTGTATGACCCTCTCTCAGTTAAAACCATTGTCTTCATAGATAAAGCTAGATTAAGCTATAGCCTTATTTCTCAAGATACGTGTGACGGCCCATGACTGCGTTAATCCCTTCCATCCTTCACCCCCTCCCACATCTCTACTCTTTGTCATGAGACTTACTTTGGCTAATAAAATGGTAAGGAAGCAACGCTGCCCTAAGTCTCTAGTGAGACTAGACCTCAAGAAGAACTGCGTGTTTCTTGAACCTCCAGCACTACCACGAGAAAATGCCTGGGTGGCCCGCTGGAGGATGAGACATACCTGGAGTAGAGGAGAAGCTCTACAATTGCTCCAGGTGTGGGAGCAAGCCCAGCCAAGCTCAGCTCAGCTGCCGAGATGAACACTTCTCACTGTATTCCACTGAGGTTTTACAGGTTGGGAGCCACAGATAACCGACAGGGGGTCACTGGCATTTTGTGCAGGGAGCTTTTGCATTATGCAACTTCTCCCATATATCCCTGAACAGTTAGCCTCCTGGGCCCCAGCCCACTAAATGCTTGTAGAGTTCTCCAGACAGCCTCGTACAACTCCAAATGCACCCACCTACTTCCAAATGCCACTTGGGGGATCAGTGGAGATTCAGTGATCGAGGAGATGTTCTCACCCATCATGAAGATTTTTAACTGTTAACAAGGATGCAATCAGGGAGACTTCCATTTTTGAAGTTTGAAGTCCTGGCCTATTCGAAGATTCATGTAAGCCCAGGACACGGGAATTCTCATTCCGTCTAATATTCTAGGAGCCAAGGGACCCCTTCTGACCTGCAGGAGTAAGTCCAGGTCCTTGCTGACAATCATATGCTCTCTCTCTGACCCATCACCACCCCCCACCCCCGTGTCCTCTGTATTTGCACCAGGGATCTCTCTGCTCCCCGAACCTGCCTTTCCCTCCTTCCCTCTGCGACTCTGTACATGTTCTTCCCTCTCTACTGCCCTCCCTCTCCTCACCTGCTCTTCTCCACTAGGGGACCTTCTATTTACCTTTCAAGATTCAGCCAGGATGACACCTCGTCTGTCTGAGACCTCTGTTAGCCCTGCCAGGTAGAGCTGGTCTACTTCTCTGTGCCTCAAGAGCCCTCAATTCATAACTCGGCTAAAGCACTTGTCAGTTTGAACTGAAATTATTTAAGGGCAACTTTCCTGGTGACACAGTGACACTTTACCATTGCCCCTAGCACCGTGCCCATGGCATGACAGATGCTTAATATTCATGTGCTGCATGCATGAGAAATATCTGCTACATGAAGACTGCAATCATTAGAAGGCCTGCCTTTCTAATTTTCCTATCATATTCTCTAATGTTATGCATAGAAGGTGATCATCTTTAAGCCCATTATCTGCTCCTCTATTTGTGGTTCAAGGGTCTATGATGGCTGAAAACGGGTTGGACAGCAAACAAACATGCACTTGGCTCTGTGCAAGGTGCTGTGTACGTGTGATCCTTTCCTTGGAGTCCTCCAGTGAGGCATGTGCAGCCTCATTTGACAGCTGAAAAGCAGTTTCGAGATCTTGAGGTCACTCAGGGAGGTTGAACTGGGGCCTGTGTCCTTTTACTACCGAGCTATCCCTCCAGGAAAGATGCTCATTCAGCCTTGGGTCAAGAAGCACAGAAGCACCGTGGCTGAGGTGACTGGTTCTATCCCACTCCTGTCTGTACAGTCCTGGGCGAGTGGGTGAGGTGCTTAACCCTTCTGAGCTTCAACTTCCTCAAGTGTAAAATGGGGAAGATAATAGGAACTACCCAGGGGGTTGTAGGAGGGTTCCAAGAGATTCTGCATGTGCAGAGTACAGTGTTTGGAGTAAAGACACAGCAGACGTCATCTATTTCCACGGTGGTTATCAGAGTTCGGAAGGGGAGACACCTGGGTGGATGCTTTCTGTCCTCAGCCACCACCTGGAGGAGACAGTAGGGCGAGGGCAGGGAAAGCAGCAATCTCGCTGAGCCTGGATAGCGCTTCTGTCTCATGAGTGTTGGAGATACTCCCCACATCTTCCTCCTTGAGGAGCCCAAATATACCTAGAAACCACAATGTCACCCCCCAATGGGGAACTTAACCAACTCATACCCTCCTTCTCTCTCACCCACACTGCAAAAGAACACTTGCAATTAATTATTCCCTTTTAGAGAATAAACACCTGGAAAGCTCTTTGCAAAAGCAGGGTTGTTTCGGGGGGGGGGTCTTTCTTTGATGAGCCTTCAAAGAGAAGGTATCCTCATCATGTGAGAAAGGAAATTAGTGGCCAGAGCATGAGAAATGCATGTGTGTATAGGGATTTCTCTCTATATACACAGGCACATACCCTTGAGTCAGGAAAAAAAAACATTCCAAGGTAAATAGCTCCAGGAGCCATCTTCTGAAAAGCACCTATATATAGTGGGCTCCTCAAGGCAGGAGCTGTTGTCGCATTCATCTCTCAATTTCCTGTACCTAGAACATCTAGAGCACCCTGTGTACGCAACAGGCCTCTACTGGACGTACTCACAGCCATGTACTCATGTTAAAAAAGGAACGGTGACCAATGAAAGTGCTCCCAGAACTAACAGAGCATGGCCTGATGTGGCTGGGAGGGTCTACCAGCAGTCCTGGGGGATAGGTAGCCTCTATGAACTTCCTGGTACCAATGATGTGGTCCGGTGGCATCCACATCCTTAGGTCACCTGTGGCCATCACAGTGCTTTAGGGGTAGGGTCTAGGGAATACTGTTGTCTATCAACCACACTGGGTATTGTGGCAAAAGCACATCAACTATGATGTCCGACATACGATGTCAAAATCTATGGGACTCTGGACCAACCAGATTGACTTCCTTGAGTTTAATGTTATGAACATTCTCAACATAGCGGTTTGTACCTTTGCTCAGCTAATATGGATGAAGCACCTGCTCTGTGCCACATGCGATGCTAAATGTTTTCAGATGGATTGCTTTATTAATTTAATCCTTCAGCACACATCTCTGTTTTACAAAGGAGGAAACTGAGGCTCAGAGAATTTCAAAAATCTGCCAGTTACACGGCTAGGGAGAAGCAGTTCCGGACTGAGACTCCAGTCTTGGGACCTCACACCAGGGCAATCTTTGCAGTGTGATGACTCCTCTCCCAGGGGATGGATGCAAGGATCAAAGAGATGGTGGAAGACACAATGCTCCATGAAAAAGCAGGCCATAAAAATGCATATGCAGTATGATCCCAATAGAACAGAGAGACAAACAAACAAAAAGCCACATAGAAAACAGACCAAAGGGAACACATTACAATGTTAACAAAGCTTTTCTCTGACTGGTGGGTTCACAGATGAATTGTATTGGCTTCTTTCTACTTTTCTGTCCTTGACGAGTTCCCTGCAATTTTCTCAAAGGAGCTAATGCGTGTAAAAGTGCTTTGTAAACTGTAAAGTGCTACACAAAACCCAAGCAATGTTATGATTACATTATGTACCTTTTCAAATTCTAATCTAGGATTTCTTATTGCTGACTGCATGGCTGATGTTATCTCAGGGGGAAGGCGGGAACAGCTTAGAAACGACCTCCTTTCCCACCCAGGGTATGGGTGATTTCTCCAGGGAGATGCTGAGCTGGAAGGAGGGCTTTCATTAACAGGGCCTGAACGCTACCGCACTCCATCCTGTGGCCACGGGGGGAGTATTAGGCTCCTGACAAGCAAGTCACAGAAACAAAAGACCGATTTCTCCTGAGGTAAAATGCATTTGCTAAATTGCTTCTTTGGGCAGCCAGCTGAG